TTTTTTTGCAGCGTCTTGTTTTTTTCTTTTTTGGAATTTGTTTAATATTGGCATCATCTGTTTCGCCTACATTTTCTTTCACTTAATGAACTGCTGGCTGAAAATCTATGAGAATTATTAGTAAATTTTTTGTTACCAGCACCTACCCTCTATAAAACAGAGAAGTTTATAGTTTTACTACTCATTCCCACTATAAAACATACACCAAAATTCATTTCCAACATTCAGTATTTTTTCGTTCCGAACATCTGGACGGTTTTCATTCCGAACATCCGGAAAATCGATTTTATTTTTTATATCCGATTTCGAACATCCGGTCAAATAACCTGATGTCCGGAAGAGTGAGGACGAAAAGGGACGCACCCGCGTAAAATACTCTAGTAGATCGAAAAATAAAATTAGTATGGTGCAAATTCTTTAAGACTGATTCGAATAATTCAAGAGAGAGGCTCATAATAATACGCTTTCTTGCTATGCTGAGCATTAACCAAATCATTTATACTTGCAAAAAGATATATATGCAATTTCAATAAATGTTCTACCGAACTTCTATCATATTATATAGTATGAAATAGATGAGCCGAATAAACATTAAATGGTGATGTTTAAAAGATGAATATACTAAATTTTTCTCATCAATTTTTCCCCATTTTTTTCTACAAATGCTGAACGATTATACAAATATTATTACTTCATTGAAATCTAAGAACATGCGTAAAGATCATGAAAAAAAAATGAAACTGTTCTGATTTTTTGACAACTAAAAATACTCTCATGATATCCAAATTGTTGCTTGTTATAAAACTATTAGTTATTTACTTTTTTCCATCTTTATCTAGAATTTAAAACAACAAGGGTTTTGCATTTTCAGATTTTGAAGATTGTCAGAAATCCTCATATTGTCTTTTCCTGATATGCAATAAAATAATTTTGGTTCAGCGTTGTAAGATGTGATACATATCGATTGGAAAAAGTTTATTCTTGAGTTTAAGCTATAGCTATCGACGAAATGTTAGTTGAAAATTTATGATTTCTATTCGTTCGATAGAATTCTTTCATAAGGATAAAAAGATATACTACAAGTTCCATAGAGTTTCATTCATAGACTATCATTCCCAGTTTCTTTGTGTTTCCCTTGGCATGAACTCAAATCTAGTCGTAATTATAGGATGAGATTTGAATAAGATTCCGTCATTAGTGATGTTCTCTCATCAATTACATACCAATGATAGACAGATCCGGCGCTTGGATAGACCGAACATATTTCGGCGAATGACAAACCAACAAGAATTGTGAAGATAGAACTAAGAAACCAGCTCCAAATGGCAATTGCTGATCCACCTGTCTTCAACGAGAGAGAAAAACCAATTGTAATCGATGCTAGTACATTTACAGCAGTAAAACAAAACGTAAATGACATGAACGGTGCAAAACCACGGTAGAGCTCTTGCTTATAACCCATTTCACGAAGAAGCCGTACAGCAGAATCTTCTTCTTCTTCTTCTTCATTTGCCTTCTCGATTTCCTTGGCCATGTCTACGATAAATAATCAACTGAAAACAAAAAGAATGTATCTCTATATCTGAAATTTAGCGTTTTACATAGTTTCATTATTTTTTCAAAATCATTTTCATGTGAAAAAGTAATGAACAATGAAAAATGTCATAAATGACTATAGTCTTGAAAGTGGGAACCTCTCATTGGTATGAGTATCTATAGTTATCGTGAACCTATTGCTGTCATAGAGAATGTTCATACAAAAGCAATTGTATCTCTGCATAGGACTTGTGTGGAATTGCTGTGATTCTATTCAATTTTCTTGAGTCACCTATTATGCATTTATACTTACAATCATCGCATTTTTCTCACTTGATTATCTTGATATCTTGAATTAATTAAGCTAACCTATTAGTTAAAATTACAGAAAACTGATTCTGTTACACTGTGTGCAATGAAATACAAAGCATTGAAAGTATCACGAATTTTCATAGTGTATAAAATAATGTTTAGCCCACATTGTCGATTTTTTATCATAGTCGACGATTCATTACGATTTATGAAACGAACAAAAATCGGGTCGAAATATTTCCACATTTGTGTATTAAATTGAAATGTTTCTCTTTAGAAGAGATCGATAACTATCCCAAAAAGTTAACTTTAGTATCTGGTATAACTTTTTATCAGATGATGCTACACTTGCCTCACATGGCTGAATTTTTGATCTAATGAAAAAATCAAACGGACGGACGAGCATTGCCGATTGATAAGCTAGATATTTCAGAACGAATTCTACGTCATAGAAAAACCTCACACACTCGAAGAAGCCACTCTAATTCAGATGGTACAATTTCTCTAATATAAAAAATACTAAATATTCCTTACTTATGAATTAATATAAAGATATTTTTTATTTACCGTTTTGTTCTTGGCTAGATTTGAAATGTATAACTCGTAAAAGTTGTTCGCTATTTTCAAAAGCCAACACAGAAAAAAATCGCTTTTTTAGAAGCCAATCAACGAGATAATTAAAAATACGACAAGAAATATATGACTAGGAAAAATATGAAGCCATTGGTTGATTATAAAAAGGTTAGTCATGTTCGATTTACCCTTCTTGTATGAATATCAGAGTGAATAGCAAGCCACAGTTTCCAGCTGCGATTGTGCTGCTTAAGTTTGCACGGAGGACGTTAAATTTTAGCAATCACTCTTGTTGTACAAAATAGGACAGGACAGAACGAGTAAAATAATACATAAACGTGAGAAAAAAAAATAAAAGAATATGCAGTTGCCTCATTCGAAAAAGCAAAACACAAGGACTGATATGCACGATTGCGCAGCCTATCACATCATAATGTGCTTTCGATACATACGCATATTCGGCAACTAAAAGAAAAATTATCTACTATCAAATTTTCAACGGTATAGTCAACTTTCAAAATTTCACGCAATGAAATCATGTACATCGAGATTAATAGTTAAAAATTTAGATAATTTTGAATGTCGAACTCAAAAATCGTTAGAATACACACAACTACCATTGAATATATGAGATCTATGTGTGCGGAATCATTTTATTTAGCCCTTTTCGGCTATTATATTAGCGTCACAGTTTCACAATTTTCTCTACCAATCAATATCAAATTTGACTGGAAGGTGATCACTGATGCGAAGTGCGTCGTCCAACGTCATGCCAAATCTTGTGCCGAAATCTACTGTCGTATTGCTTCGTGCAATGATCGCATTCACAAAATTGTTTCCATTGATGAGAATACGATCGTATGTACATGTCTGTCGAGTATTTGTTTTCACTTGATTATTGATCATCCATTTAAAATCCGCAAAGAAAATGCTGCTACAAAGGAAACATAGTTTGACAGGATTGACTACTCAGATAAATATGCAAATGAACTTACCGAAGTTGGTCTTGTCGTGCCAGAGAGATGTATGTGCAATCCGCATTGAAATCACCAACAATCAAAATCGGATGTTGTGTATGTAAACTAGGTTTATTCTGACTTGTAGGATTTTCAACATTTTGTATAATGGCCTCGGCATAAGATGTTGCTGTTTGAGAGAAATATTCTGGATGTCGAATAATAAAATCTTCAATGACATGGCGCATATTCACTGACTCTTGATAGGCATCATCCGGTCGCAGGTGTACATTCATCGTGTATTCAGTTATGCTAAGACTTAGGAATCATTTAATATATATATATATATATATTCTGAAGATGGAGAATCACAACATTTCTGAATCGTCACTCATAATGGTGAACATTTTGACGCCTGACTTGCCCGGTTGTTTGACTTTATACGTAGCCATAGAGCTAGAAATAGACATAGAAGATTTGGTTGACAAAATAGTCTGATGCATTTGAAAATTTTACGGTGCTCGTTCAAAATAATCGTATTTACTGTCATCGTAGACTGATGCACTGAGCAACTGTAAGCCAGAAGTTGCCTCTCGATTGAAAAAAATGTATTGTTCTTTCGATGTTGAATCACCGACACGCTCGCTCAAAGTCATAGTATAGGGGCCCAAATTTGACACTCTATTGAGTGCTTCATGTAGAACAATGGGTGCTTTTAAGGATACATCGGTTATTTCTTGAATAGCAGCCAAGTCAAAATCATTGATTATTTGAGCAATAAGATTGGTCAACGTAGCATTGGATGACTTTTTGGGACCATATTGATGCAAATTAAACGAACCGATTCGAATAGCCGATGCAAAAGAGCCGAGTATAACTACAAGAAGTAACTTGCATGAAATGTTAATCATATTTTCTTGTTGTTTCGAAAATTCTTTATGGTTATTGCGACTGCATGATTTTATAACAAGTGTCGACTATCAAATTTTAGATATATCCACGTCAAAAATTTATGAGTTAGTCGAGTGCCGGCAATATAATTTATTGACTTCGTTAACTGAAAGACAATAATATGTGAAAAATGACGAAATCTATTCTCATGTATAGCCTATCGCAACGGTAATAATACTTATTACTATCACTATCAAATATTGATTTATGCACTTTTCAGATTAAAATAAATATTTTCATTGGACGAAGCAACATTATTTTTTAGCGTAGTAGCTGGGAGAGAAAAAATGAACCTTTTGAAGATTGATAGATATTTGTAGAAAATGCAGATAGATTGTAGCACGAGAGCAAGGCAGCAATATTTTGCCGAGGGTCTGGTTGGAAATAGAACTATGTAAGACCAATTGTTACTTTCACATCCGCATCGCCACTCTCATTCCACGATGTATACATTAAATAGAAGCTGTCCGCATAGAATGAGCAAGCTGCAAATAACCGATAGTGCCTTAAATCGTCCATGTGGGGATCATCCACAAAATACAATACGTAAGCTGAACTGAGCTTTTTAACCAAACACTATTCTACGTCAATATGTCACAATACAGCATGAAACTACCGATAATTTTCAATGTTCTTAACAAAGAAATGGGAAGCAATGCGAGATTGAAACGAAAGTTAAACTCAACAATACAAGCACAACAAAGTGGACTAGTGTGAGGAAAATGGAATTGTTGGTCATTCTTCAATACAAGGCTCAGTCCTTTTTTTTCTTCTTTTAATCATGTTTCTCTTTGAGATTCGTTTAGTCGCTTTCCAATGCATAAAAAGAAAACAAGAAATTCCCTTCTCAAAAATTTTATATCTGTTTCGATATTTACATTTTTTGAAACAAATCATTCATGAAATTTCTTCAGTGGATAGTCTAGATGTACGTACAAGTTCGCTCTCAAATCAGATTTTGAAGGAGCTTAGGCTGCATAAACATTAAACTAATACCTCTTGATTTTTGAAATGCTAAAGATATAGTTTTACTACATTTGAATCCAGTTACTTCTAAATATTAACTTCTTGGTTCGATTTTCAATAAGATATAAAAAAAAGGAGTCATAATCTCTATTTTATTCTAATGTCGATTTGTTCGATACTCAAACATTCTCAACAAATAAAACAAGGTTAACACACCATACACGAATAAATATATGACATTGTTACACAAAATGTTTCTTGTGCAGTCAAACTTTGATAATAATTCAGATTTCAAGAAAAAATATATAGCTACTCTCAAGCCATCTTTGCGTAATAACTTGATTATTTTTATGCCAATTAGAATTCGTCACTAGCCAATACTATGACTTGCATTTTATTTTCTTCCGTTTCATAAAAATTAGTTGAATTCAAAAGACTGTTGAAATAACTCGGTTGATTACCGAAAATCGAATTCATCAAATAAAATATATTAATATCAGTTAACTGTGAATAAGTAGGAAAGAAACATAATAGAGTGCATAATTGCCAAAAGCTACTACTTCAGAAAATGTTAATTATCTAAATAAATTTTGTATTGTATGAAATAATATTAATATTCTAACGTAGATTATGAACAAACCAAGAACGCTTCTTAGCAAAATTGATAAATTTCAACGCGTACTTCTTTAAAATCTTTTCTTCTCAATTTTACTGCAAATTAATCGTGATTGATCATTCAAATTCTTTTGGATTTGTGTTCAGTCGTCGATAGGTGCACGTTTTCAATGTTTTGCTGCTGTTGGTTACTTTTTTATGGTTGACTTTTAGTTCTTATAAATAATAATTTTTGCTCCTATATTATTTAATTTCTATCACGTAACGTCTATTGCTCTAACGATTTATTATTCTTGCAGAACAAATCAATAGTAATAATACAAATATTAAACTTCAGACTCATAAAATCAATCTTTATTAAACAGAACACTTTTTTTATTCGATCTTTTTGATTTCGACATTTCTACAACACGCCTGGATATTTGTACGAATAAATACTTCCAATAAAATGCCTTCTCATTGCATAGGTATATTAATGTTAAATAAAAAGTATTCAATAATGCATATTGATAATAAAAAAAAATCTTCTATATCGTTATAAGAAAAAATATGTAAACTTGGTTGAGTGCTACACTAAATTGTGTCCAATTGGAATATACATCATTAGTTCGCTAGTTTTTATTTTCTTCCATTGAAAAGAAAGAAATTGTCTCACCCCATGCGTCTAAAATGGAAGCCACCCCATTAAAAGTAAGAGCTTTTTTTTGTAAGAAAAAAAAAGAAAGGAAGAAAAAATAGTAAATGTGATTCAGTGACTCGTGCTTGGCTGTAAAGCTAATATTACGACAATTATTCGGTGTCTTATTACTCGCTTGAAGAAAAATTCAGCATATTTGAAAGCGAAAAACAAACGATAACAATTTCTAAATGCAAGTATTGATTGCTTATCCATTTAAAAGTGAAATTCCTCATCAAAATCGATTAATTTATTTACCAGAATTAGTTCAAGATGAATCCAGCCTTCGTGTTGCTATTCGTCAACATCATCCTCATATTATTATTGTTGGAAATAATGCTGTCGGGAGTGAAACACTTGAACTATGGCGTTCAGTTATGAGTAATAACATTCAGTTAACATTAATTCGAAGAGGTTCATCACTTTCTCGTATTAATCTTGATTTAGCCAAACAATTACATATTAATGTATTAAATACATTGAGTGTGAATTCTCGATTTGTTGCAGAATATATGATTGAACATCTTCATTTACCAAGTAATGGAACTTGTTCCAACATTGCAATTATTGGATCGGGAGCTATTGGAAGTCGAATTGCTTATCGTTTATTTAGAGCTAAACATAAAGTTAATGTTTATAGTCCATCATTAACCAATCCCGATGAAACTTGCCGGAATAAAACTCGACGAAAAAAAGGTATCTGCTCGTCTGGCATAGAAGTTTCTATGACACCCGAACAGGCTGTTGTCAATGCTACACATGTTATACTTGCTATCGATGCTGATAGAGTTACAAGTGTTAATGAACAATTATCGAAAGAAGTTTTTCAAATCATACCAAATGGTGCCAGACTTGTATCTGTTACTGAATTTCGTGTATTTGCTGACGGAGCTCTTGATATTATTATCGAACGTGTTCGACAAGGGCAAATTAGTGCTCGTTTAGATTCGCATGCATTCGATATAAATACGATTAAAGATCCTCCAACAGAATTAGAAGCTGTATCAGCTGCAATGACAGTACCTGGCTGTGGTGAAGCTATGGACCAAGCAGCTCTTATTGTTCTTGCTAATGTTGTACTCGAACAATCTTTGAAATCGCCATTAGCATTTTCTCTCGATTCATCGAAACAAAATGAAGAAATCACTGTTATTGGAGCAGGTATCCTGGGCATAGTAACTGCCTTTTTTCTTAGTGAAAATGGTTATAAAATAACTATTATTGATGAGCACGATCGTCCTAATCTAGTAAATAAACTACGTCAACATGAAATTGCGTGCCGCGGTACTACACTTGACGGATGCGATGCACGGCAGGCATCTATAACAGAAACAATGCCACATGCGTTATTTTATAGAATAGATAGTTTAAGAAAATTTCCGTTAGATAATGGAGGATGGAAAATAATACCCGATCAATATACTGACCAAGAAAGTGCTTGGGTTGATAGATTTAGCGAGCTTGCTGGTTATCCAGAATTAGTTGTCAATCTAGTGAATCAGTTTGTATCAAATTTAAACAGACGTGGGATTGAATTATGGGAAGATATATTCCAGAGTTATCCACAATTAGTTCAAGATACTATTAAGAATAGTCGAATTATTCGAGTATGTTCATCATCAACTTCATTAAATGTTGTTTCATCATTTCAAAAAAAGTATCATAAAAATGAAGATAATCTCGAAATTTTATCACGTGCGCAAATTCTTGAACAAATACCTGGTATTGAACTTAAAGATGGAGACGCTGGAGGAATTCAAGTACCTGGTTTTACTGTTAATCATCTAAAACTTTGTCAAAATATGATTGGATATTTAGAAAAAAATCCGAATGTTAATTTTAAATGGTCAACTAAAGTTAATTCAATTAATAATATATCTTCGTCAAAAATAATCTTTGCTTCAAGTCTCAATCGATTGGACTCTTCACTATTAGACAATATATCATTAGCTATTCAAGGTGTTCTCGGGTGTTGGATAAAACTTCCGAATGTTCATTCAATAAAACATGGATTTAAAATAGCAGAAAAAGAACCAATATCTGTTATTAATGTGACACCAAGTTATGATGAACAATATTTATATGTAACAGGTGCTTTTGGTTTTTGTGGCCAACGTGGAATAGTTCAATCTTCTTATCTTTCACAATTAGTTGAATTATTTAATTCGACCATACGTTGTTATTTACCTGATGAAATGGAAGCAAGTGAATCGGAAATCGTTCCAATACAATATTGTATTCGTCCAATGACTCCAGATGGAATGCCAATTATTGCTCAATTAGCTGTTCAAAATAAAAAACATCAAGTGTATTTTGTTGGTGGAACGAATTCTGGAGGACTTGTTCAATCACCAATTTTAGCAACAGTTCTCTTAGACTTAATTCAAGGTTCATCCAGTAATACAAATCTTTGTCACGTTTGCAGATCATTACGTCTTGATAGAAATACTTTATTATTTAATTAAAATTTATCATACCCATCTGATCAAATTCAAGTTAAATTTATTTTTAATTAGTTACTTTTTTCTAATTAATCAAAATGAAAATATTTTATTTCTAATAAATATTCTCTATATAAATTATTAGCATGCATAAAAGTATCATAAGTTAAAATTCTGGACGACTATCTATGTAGATATAGTACGTGTAAAAGTTCTAGATATAATTGTTTTTGAATGAGTTTTTAGCTCCTCAGGGCTATAAAACTATTTTTGTAGGATAAAGAATTTGATGCTAACCTGTTTATTAACGAAAAATGATCTTTTCAATAAAATTCAATTTATCATATTTAATAGTTGAATAACATGCACTGTAATACATATCCTATGGTACATCTTTCTGTTTACGAAAACCTAAAACAACGGAGAACAAGTGCATTAACAGATTCGAAAACATGACTATATCACTTTTTTTTATAGAGCTGAATACTCGAATGTTGTTTTATTCATTTTACAATTCAGAAATCACAAATAGTTCATAATTCAAAGAGTTTTCAAGTTTGTTGTGATCATACAGTAATTAAGACTTTGCGTTTTTGAATCATGAGATGCCTAGTTCGAATTCGAGTATAAATGGGCACCCAACTGTATGGTATCAATTCGAAAATAAGCGATAGAAATAGATTCAGTTTTAGTTTTATATTTAGTTTTAGATGGAGTGGGTGTGGGTTGAGGAGGACTAAGAGGTAACTGTGGATGACTGTGCGAGTGATGGGTGCCCGGAAAGGGTGCGGGGTGGGGGTACCGGAATGCTTTAAATGTAGTTGTGAGTGATGGATACCATGAAGGAGTGTTCAAGTGTGGGTGAACGAGTAGCTGCCTAATTCGAGTTCGAATATAAACGAAATTTTCCAAAATTTTCATCAGCTCCGATCCATTCAAAGAAAAAGCTGAACTTTCTGCTATACTTTCCTATTAGAATAGGAAAATAGGAAAATTTGCTTTGAGGGTGAGGATGTGAGTGTGTGTCTTGCTTATATACCCCCACACCCACCCTCAAGTTGAATCTGAACAATGAATAGTTAGTTAATAAAAAATAATCTGGTGAATTCTGAAATATGTTTTTGAAAAAATGAAAAATAACATGGCAGTCGATATAGATTGGATTATTTTATTTCGAATGAGCTTTTTTCATTTACATTAATCTTTTCTTTTTACTTTTTCAAATCTATAATGAAATAGTTTATGTTGTACAAACCTATTTCAATAATCTTGGTTTATTAAGTAAAAATATTTAAACATCCT